ATTAAAAATAAGTTGTTTATTAGCACAATTTTAGTGCTAAACTATAGCATTTTAAATTAATTGAATATAATCAACTAAAATTTCTATAAATAAAATTATTGAAACAAAGAACTATTATGTAGTTATTATCAAACCTTATTAATATAAACTATTGTTAAAGTAAAAAATATTTTGGTAATAATGGTAGTAATGGTAAGTCTATGCGTAAAATTGTTTTTTAGTTGGTATATTGGCCAATAAAACTGATATGTGTTAGCTTATTGAACAAAATTTGCTATAATAATGACTAAGTAATATCAAATGATATTAATGTAAAATTTTCAAGCGGTTTTCATATCATGAATAGACTTCAAGATGTTATATATATGTATCAAATTTTATCAAATGCGTTTATTACTTATTATAATGTATTTTCTTTCTTTAATTTGCAGATCGTCACTTAATCACATATATAATGTATGACAACTTACAAACCTTGCTAATAATTTAAGGCAATAGATACCAATTGATGTTAAAAACAGACATTTACACGACGGTACACTGAGATCTATGTAAGCTATTAAAACACATACCATAAGATACGGTACAGGGACAGGTCTGAAAGCATCTTCTTCAAGGTATACTCTTACTTATTAGTCATACTTGTACTTATAGATTTTAAAGGCAAACAGCGGTACACTGTAATCTGTGAGATCTATTATACTATATACCATTAGGTGCTATAAAGTACTTCATAATTACTAATAGATCATAGAGACAAACATTGGTATTCCGTGATCTGTTATACTATTAGATTCTCTAGAAGAGTACTTTAAAGATTTTTTGAGCTTTCCTAAGCTAGTTGGTTGATATAACAAAATATTTTATATAATTTAATAAAGGCGAGCAGAGGTTTTTTTTTTATTCATTTATTTATTAGTGTCTATAAAGCTTTCAGACAAATATATGTAAATGTATTATAAATGTTATTAAAAAAATTGGTTTGTTTATAAATTTTAAAACAAAATAATAAAAAAGGTAAGCTTCCTACTCAATTGGTAAAAAAAATTATAACTATTCCATTGTTTATGAGACTGTGCTACTATTTTATAAAATCTTCCGAGGAAATATCATTCATTCAAAAATAATGTCAAATCCGTTGATATTTATGATTGGAAAGACATTTGATAAAAACAAAAAAATTTGAATAAATAAAAAATTTTTAGTAAATATTATGAGCTAAAGAAATTTATATATTTTGTAAGTATTTCCTGAACCCCCGCTTCTGCGCGAAAGAAAAAACTAAAAAATATTTTTGCGAACCGCGAACCGGAAGTATGCATCATTTGCACATCTTAATTGACAAATCATTAAAAAATCTACTCTAATAGTTTTATTTGGTTTGAATAATGAAATATATCAACAACAGCATCAATTTATATCTTACTTATTTACAAAAACCAAAAAAAATAGACTAAAATAGTTTAAAAGAATGTGGTTTTCTGATTGAAGATGGGCGTAGCGCTGATGTGATGTAGTGGGGGTTTGCAAATGTTTCTCCAAATAATATCAGAAGAACAAAAGGGTTAATCAACTGAACTTAAATAACTAAAACTAACAATTTCTCATAAAATAACACATTTTCACAAATACAATCAATTAGGTATCTGTATCTAATGCAATCGCATTGCATTTTATCTGAGATATTATTGAGTAATATTACCCAAATATGTATACGTTAATACCCTCACTAAAGCGCCCATTTTATTATTAAGAAAAAATTGCTTCAAGCCAACTATAAGGGCGGGAGTGGGTCACACAGTCTTATATACGACCCTTTAGCTACGTCCATGAATATGAATTTCAAGCAAAATATGAGTAATGTCATACATGGAGGTTAATCTATTAACATAAATCAAAGATTTGTTAACATAATTTCATCGTTATTTGAAAAATAAGTTACAAAAGAAAAAATAAAAAGTTTACTCATATCAGATCACTTAACACTCTCATATAATCTACCGGAAACGATGCTAATTTGTTGATTTTATGATAACAAAAATCAGCATTGTATAAATATTAACCCTTTGCATACTTTTAGATTTTTTGTCTCAAAAATAAGTTTTTAAGTACATCTCTGCAATTTTTTGAACTGAGAGATTTTTTGAGATTGAGATGTTAGAAGAAGTCATTACTTGTGCTGTAGTGAGGTTTGGTATGTAAGATCATCACTTCAAACTAATATAATTGCTTTGGCTTAATTATAAATACGCTACGCTTTCACTAAATAAATTAAAGCCATATAGAGTTAATACCTATAATCAATAACTGTATTTCTTAAACTAAGATTGGTGTTATAATTACTTTGTACTTGGGAACTTTATAACGAAGTATCCGTTATGATCATGGAACAAGCAACTAATGCAAAATTTTTTATTTGTTTCATACGAGGTAGATATATATAAATGATAGACTGTTAAGGTAGTTGACGAAGTAACGACTGTATTTTGATGTTTTGGCATCTTCTGTGTTTATTTTATTATAATTTTGTATAGCCCGCCAATATTTCACTAACTTATTTAGGCATTATTTGTGTTCTAGTATACATTTTCAGTCAGAAGAAAATGTCGAAATAGCAAGAGACTAAATTATAAAATAGATATGGACAATTATGCTCAGGCTTATAAGTGTATTATAAACAAATGACACTGGATATTGTTTATGTATTTTATAATTTTTATTCTCTTTTTGTTTTAACAAATTATTATTATTATTATTTAAATTTTTCCGCTATAAATTTTACATTGTATATTTTGTTAGTTTCCCTGAAGATGACTATCGAAGGTAATCAAATTATCGGATTCAGTTGAAAAATACATTAAAGATCGTGCTCTGAAACTATTCAATACAATTGACAGTCACAATAATCCAACACTCAGTATCCTAAAAATGCAGCGAAATTTGATAAACACAGGCAGATACAAAGATATCAGATCCATCATATTATAAAGCCCCGTAAAGCCCCGTATTTAGTGTGACTTAAAATTGTCCACAGATAAAATAGAGTAAAGGTGCTGATTCACCAACTCAGACATCTGAATATCAATATATCTTAATAAAATATTATTTTTTTTAAATATAAAAAATAAATTATAGTTATCGTATTTTTATTTAAAAGACCAATTAGCCCGCTCACAAATTATTATATTAACAAACTTATTTTTAATTATTAGCGTTTCTGGTTTTATGTGTCATTATATAAAGGTGAGTACGTAAAAGGTTAAAAGAATTTTTTTACAAAAAAAATTGCAAAATCTTTCTATAAAATATCTGTTGGAAATGAGCAATTCTTAATCAATTTACTACGCTATCAGTATATATATGGTATGTATATTGTAATTGATTAATTAATAAGCAATATAGTAATATAATTTTAATAAAATATTAGAAATAAATTGTAATATTATATATTTATTATTAAATTTAGAGAGATATTATTATAATTCTTTCTGTCTCTGTATATCTCTGTGCATAGTCTTCGGTTTCAATTTGGAAAGGTAATCTCCTATACTGATTTCGTATGTGAAATCAATCAATTGATTAGAAATTTTTATTATTTCATATATAACTTGTGTAAGAATACAAAGAACTATTGTGATGTTTATTGGTTTTTTATTTCTATTATATTATGTGGATCCTTTAGTACTCTTTTTAACAAATTATATATTCACACTATTTTAATTGTATTTTTTTTATATTTTTTATATATCATTTAAGATTTTTTTTTTCCGAAAATTTATTACCTGTAATCCTAACAAAGATACGAGTGCGAGTATAAAGACAAACGTGTTAAAAATTCATTAAATAAATTCTTTTACTCTTTTCTCATTTCCAAATGAACTTCAAATATTTATGCATACTTATGCGCTACAATAAGAGTTAAAAATATTGACATTCAACTTGTTGCAAAGGCAAATATTTACCAATGAAATTCGTGCTGTGCGAAACCGACTGATAAGGCATGCGAAGAACGAAGAACTGTTGGAGGCTGTGCACTGAGCATGAGCCAAAGTCAATAGAGGATTCGAATGTATTGAATGAACATGTTGCTTTGGTTATGTAAACAAGTAAATATTTGACTTCCGCCGATTATGTTAAGATGTTTGCTTAGCGATAAGTTTGATTAAATAGCATCACTCCCGCTTTTTCTTATCTCAATGTAGTCATAAAAGTGAGATACAAAAAAAAACTCAAAAAAAACTAAATAAATGATATCCAGGTGCAATATTATGCGCAATCCAACATAATAACATCGTGTACACTTAGCAACAGGACAACATAAACGCTATACAAAATAATTCTTTTCAAATTCCGTTTACGGGTTGGCCACACAGGCGCCACTATAGCCATTTATTTCGATTGTCCAAGCAGTTCCATTGCTATGCTGGCATGTATCGGTATGCTCATCTATTCAGAGTCTCTAATGAGCGTTATAAATCTGTATGACCTTTATGCTGTCAATTGGATTTATATTGTCAACTATTCTCTGTATTTACCACTACAGTTCGGGTCTGTTGTTGTTGCTGCTGCGTTTTGCTAGGTATTGTTATTTTGAGCCTTCACTGTTGTTTGCTTTATTGACAATTAAAAATTGTATTGAATTTTGATCGGCCACAGTCAATTCGTTCATTATCTGCGTATCATCTGCTCTCTGGCTTACGGCTGATGGCTGATGGCTGTTAGCTATTGGCTCTTGGCCGATGTTTATTGAGTTTGGTTTGGATTTTGTGAATTAAGTAGGGTTGTTGCTTTGCTTTGCTATATCGACATGCTGCTTTGTCGTACTCTATCGTGTCATGTATGTACGTGCGATCTGAAGTGGGTGCAAAATGTGAATTTTCACGCCTTTGATCTTTGACCG